ATAAATAATGCAATATATTATTATAAATATATATATATGTATATATTTTATATAGGGATATATTAGGTATATAATTATAAAGTATATAATAGTATATATTTATATATGATATATAGTATAAAAAGAGTATATAATATATATATACATATATATAGTGTATATATACATATATATATTAATAATGTATATATAAAATATAAATATATATATTATATATATATATATATAATATATATATATGTATTAAATATATGTAAATTATACCTATATATCTATACATAAATAATGTATAAATATATTTATAATATATATGCATATATAATAAATATATATAAATAAATAAATATGATATAAATATAATATATATGTCAATATATTAAATCTATATAAATTAATATAAATAAATATATATATATAAATTTGTGTGTAAGAATTAAATATATATATATCTATATAAATATACATATATATACAAATTCATGACATAATTACCCAAATATATATAATGTAAATTATATATATAAAACTATAATTCCTATATATATAAAAAAATAATATATCTTATATATAAATATATAAAACAACAATATCTGATTATATCAGATATATAAATAAATATAACAATCGAAAATGTCTATATATTATATATATATATATAAATATGTATATATATATATATAATATATATATAATAATGTAAATATATATATGTATATATAAATATACAATATATATATATAATATATATATATACATATATAATATATATACATAAATAAATGTAAATAATATATGTATATATAAGTATATATATGTATATATATATACATATACATATGTATATATTTATATATATACATATTATATGTAATATATATATATTTAATAATAAATAAAATATATATATATGGTATAAATATATATATATATATTATATATTCATGGATAATAATATATATTGTAAAACATATATAGTATATATATATATATATATACATGTATATATATATAGGTAATATATATAGTGTATAACTATATACATATAAATATATAAACATATTGTATATATATATGTATATATACATAATATATACATAAAATATATAATATCTAAATAATATATATATATATATTGTATATAAATACATATATATATAAATATATATAATATATATATATATCATATAATATATATATATATATGATTATGTATAACAATAATCTGAATCTAATACTATACCTATCTGTTATAACCTAAATCTTCAAAATGTCACACAAAACAACACTCACCATACAAAATACAATAAATCATAAATACATACACACACAACTACACTAACACACATAACACACATTCGCACACACACATACACACATACACACTCACACAACACCACACTCTGACACACATAATCACCTCACACATACACACTCACTGACACCATACACACACACACATACCCACACACACAAAACCACACTACACACAACACACAATACACACACACACCTTACACACATACCCACACCACACTACACACACACACCTTCTCACATACCGGACTATTGCAAGAAAATGGATGTTATGTGTCTGAAGCACAAATACAAATTACTTTCATGCTTGTTTGCTTAGTACTTGTATATTTAATTCTTAAAAGCTGGTCAGTTTTACATAAAGAAGAATTTGCATTGATCTTCGTCTTTCTTATGGAAGAAATTGGAAAACTTTAAATACTCATTTTCATGCCACGATTTGAGTGTCTCATCTGGTAAACTTCAACACATCTAAGCTCATAACCTCGCAATGCAACTTATGTGCTGCTGTATTTTAGTATAGTGGCTTTGAGATAACCGGAGCGGCCTTTTTCAGTTTGGTTTGAAAGCTGGTGATTTTTAGTGGAAGGTATAAAGTACTTTAGGGCTGTGTATATCCTAATGCCTTTTCTGATTTGCTTCAAATCTTAAAAGCTAATATTTAATTGCAATTGAAAATTATGCCACACACTGCACTATTTCTATCACGATCACTGACATACAAGGGGACATTCCTGTACACCACATAAACAGAAATACATCTAGTAAGCTTTGGTCATACGGTGTAACTATCATACAGAGAAGGGTAGAAAAACACTGCTGATGTGTAAAATCTTGTTGAAAAAATGTTTTGATGCATGCCTCTGAGGCGCAGAATTATGTTTTTTAACAGTTTCCATGAGGTCTTTCGGGAAGTAGGCGAAAATTTCATCGCTAAACTTTTCATTGCCTGGTTTATAATCTTGTACTTATTATATATTTTTTTCAGGGAGCATATATGTCTGTTGTTATGGATCATATCCCAAAACTGTAGCTCGTCCCTATTCCACTCAACTGTTAACCGTCCCTCTACCCCTCTCGTACCTGTTAGCGTCCCACTCCAACTCCCGCACCCAGTAGCCCATCTCTCTGCCCCTCCCTTCTATGTAACCCGTCCGTCTCCTTCCCCACACCTGTAGGTCGTTACTCTCCCCCTCCCAAACCAGTATCTGGTCTGTCTCCTCCCAGTGGTACCTCTGCCACACTGGAGTGTTGGGCGTCACTGACGGAAGTTAGGAATTTCCTCTTGAATATTTTACGGATAAACGAACTTATCACTGTACTTCCGTTGTTGTGTGTGTCCCACCCCTCATCCCCCGTGTCCAGCTCTCTTCCTGTGTCCTGTTCTCTCCCCTGTATCCTGCTCGCTCCCCTGTGTCCCGCCCTCTGCTCTGTGTCCCACCTCTGCCTTCTCACTGTCCCACACATCCCCCTCTGTGTCCTACTTCTGTGATGCACACACACACACACACACACACACACACACACATTTTTTTATATATACTTTAATGGGGCATGTTTGATAGCAATAATTTTCTCTTCTCTAGTCTACTTATCAGTTAGTGCCTGTGAGTGTGTTATTATTGTGTATCTTTGTAAAGATTACTGTATATCCTCATAAGGATTACTGCATGAAACAACCTGATATCTCAGACATCAGAGGTCAAGTGACTGAATGAAATAACCTCACTGGTGTTAAAACGCTCAGGTAAACTCATTCGAAGTCTTTCACTTTCTTCACCGCAGGTAAATATTCCTCCAATTAGATCATGAAAACTGGAACTCACCTCCGAATGAATCAGATACACGATCTATATTATGTAAGGCAACAACGATACTTCTCTGCACTATAAGAAATTATCCCTTTTCAAATGATTATCCTTCATTTTCCTCCGAAGGACCTTAGGTTCCAAGCATAGGCTGCAATAGCAGCCTATGCTTGGAAGCTAAGAATGATTCTTGAAGTAATATTGATGCCTTCGTCACACAGAGCTTTCTTCCATAAATTATGTACAGTCTGATGAGGGCTTTCTTCACTAACACGATAGTGCAGCTGTTCAGCAGAACTATGGCTCTTGTATAAAAATTGGAACACATTGGAACAGCAACTGAGTTTCTGCCATTCAAACTGAACTGTTTACTATATTCCTTGCACTCAAATGTATCAATGTATCCGAAGTTGATATCTTCACTATCATCCATAATTTCTTTCATCTCCATAAGTGTCAGTTATGAAATGCTCGTGTCTGAAGTCAAAAAAGCTGGTTAGAATTGTAGACAGTGGCATTAGAGTACAGTTTTTGCGGATTCCTTCTCACATTGGTCTTCAGAACGCATGGAAAAATTCACCTTGAGTTGTCAGCTATTAGACCTTCAACTGAACTTGAGACAGAGGAAGAATGACGGCGTTCAATGTATAAGCCATCACACTATCAAGCAGGAGGAGCTGCATGCCTATGACTTATCCAACAAAATCAACAGTTTCGTAGATGTACTATTTCCCGGCTATGATTGAGCTAGAAGTTCCACAGGAAGTCTGCACCTCCAGCTAATTTAGATTTAACCAAATGTAAACTTTGCCAGTGGAACTCATGTCACACTGCACACTTAATGTGGTGGAATAATTCATGAATTCAGAAACCACTCATTCACAGGTAATATAAGTTTTTTATTAACTGAGTCATATTATTAGCCACTCTGCCTATTGTAAATGTCTATTAAGTAACTTATAACTACACGTAATTGCATTGTTGTGCTTTGTGACTGAACTTGTGAAAGTTCATTGTTATTATTCTGAATTAATGCATTTTTTAAATAGTTCATTGTCATTTTAACTTGCTTAACAGACATAAATGTTGGGGCCCCGTCCCGGGACCCATTATGTTCTCCTGTAAGACTTTGACTGCCGCCCACAGGATGGGTATGAGGTACATAATATAGACACCAACATAAATTGAAGATGTTGTAATACTGGGTGTGTATATGTCGCATCACCTCGATTCAGTGTCATTAATGAGGTAAATCAGGATAAGTTATATTCACACCCAGAAGTTGAGTGATAATTTTCCACTTGATATTAATGTCAATTGTCAACCTTTCCTCTTTACACTGCAAGTCATTTAATGAGTTGCAGTCTACTGAGTGAAGGTTGCAAGTTGATAGAGTAAGGTTGGATTGCCCTTGCAGAGGGAAGTTGTTGAAAATTTTAGTCGAATGTAGTGTGCGGGTTTGACAGAGAATTTGACAGTGATTGAACCACTGATGACGTACTGGCTTGTCGGAGCTGGCTTTACCACCTGTTTTTTTTTTTTTTTTAAAGATAGGTCAGGGAACTGAACCAAAAGAATTTCAAATAATGAACTGCGGCATTGTCATGAAGTGATTTATTTGATCAGTAGTTTTCCAAAGTGTAGGTTTTCCTCTTCCTCATAACAACCACTTGCGGTTTTCTTTTTTTCTAGATATTTTTCATGCTTAAAAAATAATTAGTAATAACCCCTCCCTCCAATAAAAGCTGCTGCATTCACTGAGTATTTTTTCTTAGGTAATTTATAATCACATGAAGTTTACCAGTCATCAGTTTTCTTATTTTGAGAGTTTTTTATACAAAATTGAAAAACAAAACGGCTTCTGCTCAGTTACAAAATCTATATCTAATATTCTGCTGCTCAGGTGGTGTACGGATGTGTGATGGTGTTGATGGTGATGATGGTGGTGATCTTCGAGGACAAGATGCAGCAGTTCATTGATCCTGAACACGTCAGCGCTTGGTATGGTGGACGCTTTAGGTAATGTCACTTGTCTTGTACAGTATTGTTTACATTTCCCTTTGCCAAGTTTGAAGAGGCTGAGTTTTCTATTGGACAACGTGGCCTGTCTGTGTTGTACTTACTTTTTATTCATCTGAATGGTTCTAGTCTCATACTTTCATTCCGTCTTCTATACTGAAGGAATACTTGATGGTGTTTTATTTAGGTATCCCCGAAGGAGGACATTAAGTTATTGCCAGACTTTTCTTTCTTAGTCCAACTTTTTCATTTTAGTTCGTCTACCGAGCCTAGAAACTGGTTTATAATAACTATTTTTTTTACTGAAACAATTTTTTGTTTCCAGCACTTCATTGAAGACTAAAGAGTACTTTAGGGATATCTGTTAAGCATTTACTTATTCTTAATTCCTTACAGTGGATATGTCAATTATCCTTCAAGGTTGAGCTTTTTATATAGTGACGATTTTGTCGTTTATGCTCTCACGGGCAGTCAGTGATATTTTCTACCGGACGTCACGTGGCTTAAAGTTTTCTGTATCCAGGACGAGTTTTATAACTTTACAAGGCCACCTGCCAGTCTACATTTCCTGTCTTCACTGTATGATTCTTCTGTTTAGTCCAGTAACAATATAAAATTGATGAGACAAAACTCTGACTGAAACTTGCTTGCGTTCGACTCGCTTTTGCTGTTTCTTAATAATTTTTAACTGCATAGATACTAATGTTGTGTACAACAATGGCTCCATATTTGGATATCTGCCATGTTTCTTGCCCTTATTTTTCAACTGAGACTACGGCAGTCGGCTAGTATTTTTGCTGAGGAATTATATGTACTGTACATTTCATACTGTTGCTGCCATATTTACTGCTACCATATCCGTATAATCTTTTGTTGTAGAGTAGTCTGAGACTCAGTACACTTTAACCCTCTTGTTTTCAACATTTAGTGTGGTCTTCTCATGAAGAGCTTCCTGCCCCACTGAAGAGGATTGCCAGGCCACGCTGGAAGCCTAGCATCTTTTAATGGACCTGATCGTCGACAACATTAGCTTCATTGTTTGCCTCTCCTTCAAAGCCATGATAATCTTACTCTGCCGCCCTTTTCTTAAGAGCACCACCGTTAATGTATATTCTGTTAATACAATTTCATCATCAGTTTGTCTACAACAATGTTTTTGAATGACTTGACGCGTATTTCGTCTTACTCAGGGTAACTACCCTATCTTTCCTACTCTTTCTCTCCGGACGTACAGAAATGAATAATAACGGAATATAATCTGTTCCTTAAGCAAGATAGAAATGTTGCAATATTTATTTGATACCTGAATGTATGTTTGAATGTTAATGGCGATTTACGAAAATTTTATGTAACTTGCATTATTAATAATTATTAAATTATTCTAGATCACCTAAAATCTGGAGCCAGCTGGTACCCGAGTTCCTTGGAGTAGAGAAGGACCTGGAGAATACTGATACCTATCCTCGGGAGGAGAATCAAGATGGCGGAGGTCCTCGTGACAGTAAGCTGCTCGACCCACCAAAAATTCCTTATGTGAAAGAAATGCCGAAAAAGTTTTTAAAGGCAGACCTCGGCCTTGACCCTGAAAATCCCCCGCTGAAGAAGATCTTAGTCTGGGTCAACGTAAGGACTGTGAACTTTCCTAAATGAAAGTGCTGTTTAATGGGAAAAGTGATTGTAGGAGAAAGTCTTCGGAAGAATATTTAATGAAAATTTGAAGATGAACATTGCACATCGAGCATTATTTCAAAGTTCGTATTTTGAAACTCTGTATCAGAGTCCACAGTACTTTACCACTGAGCTAGACCCAAGATAAGTATGGGTGTCCAGTCGGAGCCAGACGATGTTACCCCATACCCCCGGGCACCAAGCTCGTTTTGAAAATTATTTCATCGAATCCTGCCACATGCAGTGGACAACGAAAGAGATTTGAAATGCCCGGGGGTATAAGGAAACATCGTCTGGCTCCGTGGTAAAGTACTGTGGACTCTGATACAAAGTTTGCAGGTTCGAGTCCTGCTGTGGACGTAGTAAATTATTATATTATATATATATAATAAGAATAATATATATATATATATATAATATATATATATATATATATATATATATATATATATATATATATTATAATACTATATATATACTAGTCTCACAAAACAGATACCAATCAGTCAGGGTTTCTGTCTCTAGTGTATGTCGATGCTTAGCAGTAGAGCAAACAACTGTTATGTCTGCAAAGAATAATTCCAATGAGTGACGAAGTTTGATGTCAGGTCATGGGTAAAATACCTTCACAACAAATGATTAGCACTAACAGAATTAGAAATATTGTAAATATATCGTTAATATAAAATGTTCACTGTATTCGTGAAGTGTGTGAATTCTGTGTTCTCTTATGCTAGTGTTCAGGTGAACCGCATCACTGAATGTGGGGGATGGGGGAAGTTAGTAGGCTCTCTGGGAAAATATTAGTGTTAATTTACTACGGCTCTCCTGTTACGAACAGTATATAATGCCAATAAATGTACAAAAGACACGTTTACAACGTTGGGTAACTATTATGGAAAGGTTTCGCCCACCAGGAGAGTGGCCAACCCAACTGAATTGATAAAGCCCCTGGTGGGCGAAGTTTCGTAATACTTACCTATAGTTACATCCGTGACTTTTATATACCTCTCATTGTAAAAGTTACTGGTGATGAAGGTTGTGATGCTTCACTATAACATACCTCCAGGACTCCAGAGTTATAACTCCTGCAGGAACACCAAGGTTGTTACACTCCATTATATCCTGCAGGACCTCTCCAGGTTGTTACATCCTACCATAACAGTCTTAGGAACACCAAGGCTATGACACCACACTGTAATACATCTGCAGGAGTGACACCACACTATCATAATAATAAGAACACATTTGCAGGGGTACGGGTCGAAAGCAATGTCATTCGGCTTTGGTCGAGCGCCGTTCCAGATGGCCGAGTGTGAGGTAGACACCTGCATGGTCACTGGCAATCGCTCCTTCGTGCCTGTGGAGGCGTTTGATGCTATCATCTTCCACTTTAGGGCAATGGAACCCCTTCAGTTACCAAAAATAAGGTATTAATTGTTGCTTCAAATATCTTAAGACTATTTTTATTTTGAATGGGCTGTATTGCATTTTTATGCATTTTTAACCTATCACATTTTTTCTCCGAAAACTTAAGTAATTATTATCCTTGTAAAAACCGAGACAAACTACAGTTTTTGTCAAAGTGAATTGAAATATTACATTATTTTCAGATTTCATTCACTTCTGTTAAAACTTTTTTTTCTTTACCGCTGTCTCCTTTTTTCTTTTTCTTTTAAATATAGGGATATATCCTGGCGAGGTTTGCCGGTTAGAGAGCTTAAGGACCCTGAAACCCCCTTTTTTTCGTTAGTGAGGAGATTTCCTCTTCCTGCGAAATTTTCTCTGAAAGAATACTTGTACTCAAAATGCGAATATTAAAATTATAATTGCTCTGAGTATACTGTGATAACATCTTCAGTGAAGGAAGATTAGACACGATAGCGGCAAAATGATGACGAAAAATTAAGATAGCTTAAAGTTGGAAATGATTGCAGCACATTAATTATAATGATAACATTTTATGCTAAAAACAATTAACAACCGAACTGTTGTAATGTTTTGTGAATCCAAAAACTAGTTTCTTGCATATCTTTGTCATCAGCTGTGAACATTTCTCCTCCTTTCGTTAGTCCTATCCTTTAGTTATTTTTCATTGTATCGCTTTAAAGTGATTTTGGTACTGTTTTAACCGTGTGTGTGTGTGTGTGTGTGTGTGTGTGTGTGTGTGTACTCACCTATTTATACTCACCTATTTGTGGTTGCAGGGGTCGAGTCTTAGCTCCTGGCCCAGCCTCTTCACCGGTTGTTACTGGGCCCTCTCTCTCCCCGCTCCATGAGCTTTATCAAACCTCGTCTTAAAACTGTGTATGGTTCCTGCCTCCACTACGTCATTTTCTAGGCTATTCCACTGCCTTACAACTCTATGACTGAAGAAATACTTCCTAATATCTCTCTGACTCATTTGTGTCTTCAACTTCCAATTGTGGCCTCTTGTTTCTGTGTCCCCTCCCTGGAACATCCTGTCTTTGTCCACCTTGTCTATTCCACGCAGTATTTTATATGTCGTTTCATTCACCTTCACCCCTGACCCTCCTGTCCTCCAGTGTCGTCAGGCCGATTTCCCTTAATCTTTCTTCATAGGACATTCCCCTTAGCTCTGGAACTAACCTTGTCGCAAACCTTTGTACTTTCTCTAGTTTCTTGACGTGCTTTATCAAGTGCGGGTTCCAAACAGGTGCTGCATACTCCAGTATGGGCCTGACATACACGGTGTACAGTGTCTTGATGTGTGTGTGTGTGTGTGTGTGTGTGTGTGTGTGTGTGTTGTTGTGTGTGTGTATGGTGTGTGTGTGTATGTGTGTATGGTGTGTGTATGTGTATGGTGTGTGTGTGTGTGTGTGATGGTGTGTGTGTTGTGTGTTGGTGTGGTGTGTGTGTGTGTGTATGGGTGTGTGTGTGTATAGTGTGTGTGTATGTGTGTGTATGGTGTGTGCGCCTGTATGTGTGCGCCTATATAAACTCGTTTTATCTACAACTCTAACAACCATGCTACGTAACAACTCCGCAAATTAATCTGAATGATACATGGACAAAAAAGGTCCCTCAGAAACAAACTGTTTATATATTTAGATGTATATATCATGCATTGCGAAAGAATATATACGAGTAAAGAATAAACAGTCACAGTACCGTGGCTGTCACAGACCGTGGCTGTCACAGCACCGTGGCTGTCACAGCACCGTGGCTGTCACAGCACCGTGGCTGTCACAGCACCGTGGCTGGAACAATACACAAATAACCCGCTCTTAGGAGACTGAAACTTATGACGACGTTTCTGTCTGACTTGGATCATTAACAAATGGCATGTTAATGGTCCAAGTTGGACGGAAACGCCGTCATAAGTTTGTCTCCTAAGTGCGGGTTATCTGTGAATATATATATATATATATATATATATATATATATATATAATATATATATATATATATATATATAATATATATATATATATATATGATGCCGAATATGTAAAACTGGTCAATTAGCAAGAACTCATTTAAAATTAAGTCCTTTCTAAAATTTTCTCTTATACGTTTAAAGATATATTTTTTTCATTAATGTTGATGTAAAAAATTTAAATTTGCACCAAAAGGAACTTAGAAAACTTACCTAACCTTATTATAACAAGCACAGTTTATTTTACCCTAACCCAACTAAATATATTTTAGATTTGTTTACAGTAATTTAATACTAAACAAACACAGTGAAATATATTTTTTTCGTTAGGTTCAGAATGATTTTCGCGAAATTATTGCATACACAAATTTTCACTTGTCCTATATGGCAAGATGAGCGTTGCCATTTAAGCCAAGATCGCAAGTTGCCTATTCGGCACGACGTATATATATATATATATATATATATATAATTATATATATATATATATATATATATAATATATATATATATATATATATAATCAATAACAACATTGCGACTATCCAAGGACTTGAACCCATGTTGTTTTGGCCCGCCTCATGGTGAGCGAAAACCACATTACGTTCTAACCCACAGGACCATCAAATCCTACAAGAATCACGCACCCAGCAGAACTAGGTGTTTTGCCGTGTCCGAGGACATACTGTGTTGTGAGTGCCTCTGAGCTAATTTCATTCTACTCCCCGTTTGGTGTACTAGCCTCAATAAGCTGTATTTTATATTATTGTAACCACGAACAAGTGGTAGTGGTCAATAACAACACTGCGACTAGCCAATTATAATAATTAGTTGTTTCGTTAGTTGCTCTAGAATCTTTTGCCTTTTTTTTTTTTTTTTTTTTTTTTTACCTTAAATCTCCAGATTGGATTTGTAACAGCGCAAGTGAAAGTAGCTAACGTTTACGTCACATAACAAATATACTGTGTGAGGCTTTGTTACTCATCATATACTCATCCTAGCGCCTCTTAACCATGTATTGATCCTAAGGTCCCCTCACCATACATTCATCCTAAGGTCTTACCAAGGAATCTCAGGTCACCTCACCATCTACTCTCAGATGTTTTCAGCATGTATTCTCCCACAGGTGTCTTTACTAGGTATTCGGGTGTCCTTACCATGTACTCTCTGGTGCCCTCGCCATGTAGTCTAGTACCCTCACTGTGTACTCTAGTTACCTTTACCATGTAATCTCACGTGCTCTGACCATACACTTCTATGTTCGCAGGTCTCCTCACCAACGGTGGGTGTTCTGGGAGGTAGAATCAGCCTCATACGTCTACCAGAACCCGTCACTCTATAATGGCCTCTTCAACTGGACCATGACGTACAGAAGAGATTCTGACATACCTTATCCGTGAGTCCACTATACCTTCGCCTCATGGCTTGCTTAACATTTGTAACCATCAAATCCTGTATTGTCACTGGATGACTGTCATCAGATGCATAGTTATACTGGCACAGTGTTAGCAGAGTCTTACAGATAATTGCCATATATCAATGTTGACAAAAAAAAAAGGGTGTATAAGTATGGAAGGATGGGTAGGGGTCTCAGGAAGAGTTGGCTGGAATAGATGAAGGAGCTTCATAATGATAGGGGTCTGAGAATCCAGCAAGCAAGCAAGCATGAGCGTGTTAAGTAGGAGTGTGTTTTTTGGCGGGATTTGACGTACTGTTGGAGTGTTAACAGGGTAGCATTTACAGAACGAGGGGAACGTACAGGGCCACCACTTTGAAGGAGGAGCGGGAATGTTGCAGTTCAGAGAGTCATTTGAGTTGAAATATCTAAGCACTTCTAGCAAGGCTACTGTTGAATGAATAACGGGGAATGCATTTCATCATTTTGGTGAACTTACTTTAGCAAAAACATTTTTGACGTTATGTTTATACAATGTGATCTGCGTTATATGTACCTAATTGTTGCAGAGCACTACATATGGAACTGATATTTAGCTGTTTCTGTTCATCAGCTTCCTGTACCTATTTTTTCTCCATGAAAGGAGAAAAATAGAGGTGAGATCGTGGAAATAAGAATGGGAAGGATAATGAAAATGAGAGAGGGGTAGATGAATATTTTAAGAACAATGGACCCCACAAAGGTTAACACAGTTTTAAGACGCGAGTATCAGTGAACTCTTGACTCTACAAACACCAACACTATCGGTAGTTTACACTTGACATACAGTGATGAAATAGTGTTCATGTGTTTCCTTTGATCTAAATTGAGACATAAATTGCTAGGAATGAAAAGAATAAAATTTGGTAATCACAATATTCTTCCGGTGCTGAATGACCCCTACTGGTTTAGAGAGCTCTTTCCTCTGAATATATTAAGAATAATTAAGCATGTATAAGCGGGGATGAAGTATAGTGCTTGATCTATAATTCTGAATCTGTGTTTATACTCGCTGATAACGAAGTTGAATTCATTGCACAGCTTATTACATAGAAATGTTAAGAGATGGAAGCAACATATCAAGCAAAATACACTAAGTCACAAAGACGACGAGGATAAATAAGAGAAAAAGTACTCATGATTGACAGACATCATTAAATATATTGTTTCAACATAATTATGATATTATGATAATAATTATTATTGCCATTCTCTTGAGCAGCGCCATCTTGGATTTACAGGTACGGGCGTGCTAACGCGCTCTCTTCGTCACCTCTGACACCGTCACCATCACCACTGCCATCATCAACTACGGAGAAACCCAAGAAGAACTACGCCGCCGGAAAAACGAAAATGGCTGCCTGGTTCGTCTCCAACTGCTTCACTCACTCGAGAAGAGAGAAGTTGGTCAACTTCATGAAGAAGTTCATCCCGGTGAGTGGACAAGCTTCAGTTTAACACGCCCCCCCCCCCCACTCTCAACACTCTTATCTGCTGAGGGTAAAGCATTGTTTAAATAAGAATTGTTGTGTCAGAGAGTTGAAGTCAGGAAACTTGCCGAAAAAAAGACAGTCCGAATTACCAGCGGTTCAGACCATCCCAGGATTATGGTTGGGAAAAGCTTTTGACTTTTTTATGATGCAGAGACGCTGAAGCACAGGGATAGCAATACTGGCTCGACAGACCGGACACTCCTCACTTGGACTGTTGCATTCGTTTATTTAAGAATTTTCAGCATTTTGGCAGAAGACTTAGGAAGAACAAGAGATAAAATTAACCCCCATTCGTTCATGAAGTCGAGGGATACTTCTTAAAAAGACGTGTGATAGGGTCCAACTCAGCGGCCGTTCATAAAAATTTCTTGTCAGAATTATAATTATTAAAACCCTGTAACCAATGGCGAGTTTGCTTTCTCTCTCAATTATGCTTATTATATGCTTATGTAACCTGTATGTCACAGGTAGACGTGTATGGAAAGTGTGGACCTCTGAAGTGCTCCAGAGACACCACCTCTTTGTGCTACGAGTTGCTGGAGAAAGATTACAAGTTCTACTTCTCATTTGAAAACTCTCTCTGTAAAGACTACGTCACAGAGAAATTATTCTCTGTTCTCAGGTGAGTTTTGAAAATGGGCAGGAGGAGGATGGGGAAGGTGGGAATGGGAAGGTAGGTGTTGGAGGAGAAGAAAAAGTGTGTTGGAGAGGGAGAGTATTGGTGGGGGAAGGGAGTTCATTCGAGCGGTGAAGGGAAGTGTTTGAAGACAGGGAAAAGGGGAGACTTAGAGGAGTGGGGGAAGGTAAGGAATAAATAACAAAATAGGCACAATACCGTGACTGGAACGATACACAAATAACCTGCACATAAAAGAGAAGCTTACGACGACGTTTCGGTCCGACTTGGACCATTGACAAAGCCACACTAACCAGAAGTGGAGCAGGACGGCTATATATAGGAAGGAAGAGGTGGTGGTAGTAGTAGTAGTAGTAGTAGTACAAGAATGGTATGTAATACCGACAAGATGAAATTAAGACACGCGCAACACCCGGGCATCCCTATCGTGTAAGGTAAGGAATTATTTATCATGGGGAGCACTAAACTAATAGGGATTATTCATCGCCGGAGGGTAGAGGGAGGGGGGGATTGTTGAAGGCATTCAGCTGAATTTAGAGAATTTTAGCACAGATTCTAGATCAAGAGCCCCTCACCAGCACTCACCAGCATCTTTATGAAGACTAGATATATTGGGGAAATATTTGAAAATGAACATTAAAAGCTGACTGATTTATTAATTTGACAAAACCAAACTGAATGATAATAGAAAGGGTTAATTTAGGCCAATATGAAATTTAAACAAAAAATTAATTCATAAATGACTGAAAGTTTTTTTTAGTTTTCAGCAATAATCTTCGTCTACAGATTATATAAATATTTATAACTTTCAAGGAAAGTATAAATGTAAAAAATGCCACATTACGTACAAGTCATAATTATATTAACAATACAGTAGTAATAAAATCAACATGATTAAGATACATAAACATGTGCAACAGTTTGGTAACCTTATTGCCCAGACGTTTCGTCTGTTCAGCAGACTGCTTAAACAGAAATACAGAAGACAACGAGAATCGTGGACTTCTGTTGTCATCTCTGTACTTCGACTGAAGAAGCCTACTGAGCAGACTAAACGTCTTGTCACTAAAGGTACCAAACTCTTGTACATGTGTCTTACTCATCTACAATATGTACCATTGATAAAATAAAAAGAGGACCAATAAGAATAATACAATAATCATATTAAACATGATTTTAATAAATTAAGAATTACAAACTTCCTGTGAACTACCCTTCAGTCTAATCGCCAAAATTATCTTAGGAGTAACATTAACTCATTTCGGGCAAATTAGGTTGGTTTTGTCCAAGGATGCGACCCACACCAGTCGAATAACACCCAGGTACCCATTTTACTAATGGGTAAACAGACAACCGGTATAAGGAAACACGTCCGATGTTTCCATCCCTTCGTCGGGAATCGAACCCTAACCCTCACCATGTGAAGCGAGAGCTTTTGTCACCAGGTCACGGGACAATTATTTATATACCACTTATGTGGAAGCAACTCAAAGAAGAAATAAGGCAGACATAGGAATCCAAATGACCTGTTATCCCGGGTGTAATGGGAGCAAAATAAACACAGCAGAAAAAGTTTAGACTTATATTATCCTTCACCAATTTAGAACAGCAATATGTACACTATGTACAGTGATAAGTATAGTGCACTCCACGGTAAGCAAGGCAGAAATAGAAGCCACAAGATAGCAGACCGTGCTTCAACCAGCTCTAGAATGGGAATGACAAGGGCAGACAGGAGAGTGGTACTCACATAACCTCTGCGATTGCCAAAACCATCTTCTTATTGGCTAGAACCTGATCACTAGTTGAACGACAGGGCCCCATCATCAACTCTTAGCAACCTGGTTCGCTGGTTGGGAGAGATAGCCTGTAAATTAGGGTGTGTACATGCGCTGAATAAAGGTTACGTACTCTTTGCATTCCGAGATCGGAGTCGTCCAAGGATAGGTCAACATTCTCTCCAGACAACCCTTGGGATGTTGCCCGAGTTATGGCCAACACCGGAGAAGAATTACTCATTATAGGTTCAGGACACGCACTAACAGTAGTAATGTTATTACCCAGTAATAACATGGCATCTTTCATGGGGAATCCTTTTGAGACACCTACAGTCAAGTACCCAGTGTAATATTTGCACTGTACATAAATTTTATGCAAAGGAACAGAATATATAGCTCCTCCAAATGCTTCCAATAAAACAGAGGAATTCAAGGAAGTGTTCTCTGAAAGGGGTAATATTCCTTCTCTTACAAGTGAGCAATATGCTCCAGTATCTCTAAAGGTCTTTACTTCAGTTGTTTCTGAGTTTTCCTGAAGGGAAATAAGGCTCTTGCAATAATAAGGGGCCATACCTTTTTCTACTTCTCTAGGGGACATGTTACTAGGAATATTAGAGATTTTCCCAATGGGTTGGGGTTTATGGGGGCAGTTGGGACGGATATGGCCTACTTTGTTGCAGAGAAAGCAGACGACAGGCTTGCCCTTTACTCCCTGCAGACGTTGCAAATGGTGTCGTTCTGGCTGATGTCTCTCTGGATACTGTTGTCGAGATGCACCATGAGTAGTTTGCCTCTCCGCAGGTGGACCATAAGTTTGAAAAAAGTGTGGCTCACCAGGTGACTTAGTTGGCTGACGTAGACGTTCTCCCTCCGGCTGGCACTTCATTCTCCAAGGTTGACGTTCTCTGCTCATGCCAGGCTGTTGAAAAGAGACGGGACCGCTCGGACAAGGAGCGGTTAGTTTCGAAGGTATCAGCCAACCTGGCTGCCTCCAATGCAGTGGTTAAGTCACGATCCTGCAGAAAGACTCGAACCTCTGGTCCCACAGACTCAGCAGGTTATCAATCAGAATAAGCTGTACCAGCTCCTCAAAGGTAGAGACACCACTTGCTTTATACCAGCTGGTAAAAGCTTTGGTTTGCTGTCTCACAAAGTCTACTAGGGATTGACCAAGCTGCCGCCTGCTTAATTTAAAAATCTTTCTATATTTGGCTGGGATACATGTATATGCTCCCAACACTGTGGCCTTCACTACTTTATAATCAGAAAATTCAGCGTCATTTAATGCTGACGTAAATTCCTGTGCCTTACCCAATAATGCTGTATGAACCAACGATGCCCAATGCTGTTCCGGCCACCTCAAGGCTCGAGCCTGATTTTCGAAGCTTTCGAAAAATTGTTCTGGTTCGGCCTCATTGAAGCGGGGAACAAGCTGTACTGCTTTTGTAAACTAAAATCATTTACAGAATGCGAAAACTGCCTCCTTTCTCTTTCCCTATCAAATTCTTCCCTTGCGAATGCTCTCTGTTCCCTAGTTTGCTCAAGATTGATTTTTGCCAGCTCAAGTGCCAACGACGCTGATTCACCTTGAGACAACCCAGCTGACCATTTTGCTCCGTAAGTGTATCATCTTCCTCCTGCGAGAACATAGTAGTTTTTGCCCTAGCTCCCGTAGAGGGAGGAGTCTGATGTGCCATCTCTTCTTCTATAAGTTTTGTCAGCAATCAGTGGAACGCAGTTTTCACAGCTGTGAGAATGCGTTTGTATTTAATGCCAATGGAACGAGCAATTTGCCAACAACGCTGTAGGGACAATTTAGGTAGGTTATGCAAAGTATATGCCGACACCAGACGTCTGACTCGTCTAGGTGGCATAAGTTATTCGCTATGCACAGTACGATTGCAGAATACCCCAACGTAACACGTTAATTTGCAGAACACGCTTAGCTATGCACAGTACGATTGCAGAATACGCATACAAGCAAAGCTGACTGCAAAATTCTCCACACCGAACAGGCTAGTAACAACCGACACGCAAAATTTGTAAAGCAATGCCAGACAGCTACACTGTTCTAGAAAATTGACCGTAGCGAAGCGAGCACACCGAACAAGCTAGTAGCGAGCTGTTGAACGATCACACAATAGCAAGGCTGACCATAACAGTAACTGACACGCAAAATTTGTAAAGCGTAGGCAAAGCTAATGCAATGCCAGACAGCAAGCTGCACAATGTTCCTGCTACAAGCTTCACCCTAAGCTCAACCGGTTCTCTAAGTCCAGCTCCAGCTCCCGGACAGGCTACCCATATTAAAACCCAGGAATCCAAATGGCCTGTTATCCCGGGTGTAATGGGAGCAAAATAAACACAGCAGAGAAAGTTTAGACTTATATTATCCTTCACCAATTTAGAACAGCAATATGTACACTATGTACAGTGATAAATATAGTGCACTCCATGGTAAGCAAGGCAGAAATAGAAGCCACAAGATAGCAGACCGTGCTTCAACCGGCTCGGTGGTCTGGTGGCTAAAACTCCCGCTTCACACACGGAGGGCCCGGGTTCGATTCCCGGCGGGTGGAAATTCCGACACGTTTCCTTACACCTGTTGTCCTGTTCACCTAGCAGCAAATAGGTACCTGGGTGTTAGTCGACTGGTGTGGGTCGCATCCTGGGGGACAAGATTAAGGACCCCAATGGAAATAAGTTAGACAGTCCTCAATGACGCACTGACTTTCTTGGGTTATCCTGGGTGGCTAACCCTCCGGGGTTAAAAATCCGAACGAAATTTTATCTTATCTTATCTTAGAATGGGAATGACAAGGGCAGACAGGAGAGTGGTACCCACATAACCTCTGCGATTGCCAAAACCATCTTCTTATTGGCTAGAACCTGGTCACTAGTTGAACGACGGGGCCCCATCATCAACTCTTAGCAACCTGGTTCGCTGGTTGGGGGAGATAGCCTGTAAATGAGGGTGTGTACATGCGCCGAATAAAGGTTACGTACTCTTTGCATACCACACTGGGTTAATAACCCTCCAGGTTAATCTAAATAGAGCCTTAGTGCATTGGTTGCACGCTCTGCTGACAATCAAGAGGCCATGGCTAAAAATTAAGAATCTTTGAAAGAAATGAAAGGACCCCGCGGAAATAATTCAGGATTTACCTTTGTTTGGTTATTCTATTTTAATTTCTACATAGGTTATTATGTAATGCGATCATTAAAGCTGAAATCTGTGAATTGAGACTGACCCAAAGATTACTATAGGTGAGATGTATAAGCAAAGCTCTTGTCACCTTTACCTAGCAATAAACTTCGGAGATCGTCGACTGTTTAGTCGCATCAAGGAAAAGGCCCTTGAAAACACTTCAATTAAAAGGCATATTGCTTCTTCGGTAATCCTGGTTTATCCTAGGTAATTTGCACAATGTATGATAATTGTACTTGTGTACCTGTGCCTAAGTATACTTTCTTTAAAGAAAGTTCTTGAGCCATAATAATTAACTGTCGTCTATATTAGTTAGTGTTCAACATAGAAGACAATCGTTTTCTGTTCATTCTTCTTTCTTACAGAAAACGTAATTATTTAACGGTGACCCAAAAGTAATTTAATACCTTCCGTGTACAAAAATAACAATGACAGTAATAATCTTTATTACTACAATTACATGATACAACTGATACAGACGTAGCTGACAATATTGGCATAACATACTAAGAGTCCCTGGTTATGTAGAGCAATTCGGCCAGTTTACATTAATCTTGTTCCCAAGGGTGTGACCCATAACAATCAACTAACACCAAGGTAAATATTTACTGCTATAATAATAATAATAATAATAATAATAATAATAATAATAATAATAATAATAATAATAATAATAATAATAATAATAATCTTTATTTCTACAAGTACTTGATACAACTAATACAGGGACACCAGGTACAAGGAAACATGCCCAACGTTTCACTCGTGCTTGATCGACACCATGCCCAGCCCTTCTCGGGTAGGGTAGGTGCCTGAGCCGGAGCTTGCAGCTCACAAGGCTGTCATTCCCATTAGCCTCCTTGGGGCGGGGATGGCAGACCAGAAAGGCCTAGCTTCTCCCTCCAAGAAGCTAGGCCTGGGGACAGTTGGTCCCAGACAGTAGCTCTCAGACCCTCCCTAGACAGGGAGCCGGGAGAGTACCGGCGAATCTTTAATAATAATAATAAATAATCGTGGTGTGGATCGGTACGAGTTTCATTTTCTTTTATTTATTTTAATTTTTAGTTTTTTATTAGGGTCTAATACACAGTATACAGTATTAGTAGATTAAAAATAGATGTAAGTTACAATATATGAGTTGAAAGAAAACTGAATGAAGAACAGGGAGACTGAAGAGGATTGAATAACAACAGAATTGTTTTCAAGATTTGGCATATATTGTATTGCTGTCAAGATCACATATAGATAGGAGTTTTTTTTAAGTCGTTCTGAAGTAGTTGGCATAGTATATATATATATATATATATATATATATATATATATATATATATATATATATATATATATATATATATATATTATATATATATATATATTGGGAGTATGGAGGAAGTGGATGTATTCAGGTATTTGCGTGTGAACTTGTCAGCAGATGGGTCTATGATAGATGAGGTAAATTATAGAATCGATGAGGAGAAAAAGGTGATTGGAGCACTGAGGAGTCAGTGAAGACAAAGAACGTTATCTATGGAAGCAAAGAAGGGAATGTATGATAGTATAGTGGTACCAACGTTCTTATATGGGTGTGAAGCAAGGTTGGTGAATGTTGCAACAAGAAGGCTGGAGGTAGTGGAGATGTGTCTGAGGGCAATGTGTGGTGTGAATATAATGCAAAGAATCAGCAATTTGGAGATTAGAGGGTGTGGAGATTCTAAAGGTATTATCCATAGGGCAGAGAAGGGGTTGTTGAGGCTATTCGGACCTTTAGAGAGGATGGAACAAAATAGAATAACTTGGAGGGGATATAAATCTGTAGTGGAAGGAAGGCAGAGTAGGGGTCGTCCTAATAAAGGTTGGAGGGAGGTGCTAGATAGGAGTGGAGACGAATGATTTTTGTGACTTGCTGTTGGAGTGTGAGCAAATTAACATTTATGAAGGGATTCGGTGAAACCAGTTAGCCGACTTGTGTCCTGGAAGTGGGAAGTACAGTGCCTGTGCTCTGAAGGAAGGATGTTCATATGTTGCAGTTTTTTTAACTGTAGTGTAGGCATACCTCTGGCAAGACAGTGATGGAGTGTTTCTTCTCTTCGGGTCACTCTGCCTTGGTGGGAAACGGCCGGTATGATAGGATCTTGCACCTTGCTCATGTACATGGATTCACTACTTATAATGATCTGGACGTGTGTGGCTATAGTTATCACATGTACAGAGTTGGCACTTTTCATTAACAGCATCATTGTGCTCTGCACTCAGCCAGTTCCCTGAAAGCAGCTAATACCTTCGTAAAATAATAGACCATAATGTTATGTGCAGGTACAATGTAGTACCGGTAGTGTTGGGTCTTGGAGACTACGCCCACATTGTTCCTCCTCACTCCTACATCAACGTCCTGGACTTCTCAAACCTGCAGAGCCTCGCTAACTATCTCAAGTACCTCAACAACAACGACACCGCTTATAATGAGTACTTTAAGTAAGACTGTATTTAATAATCAATTGTAATATAAATAATTTTAGCTGTAGTAAGAGAATTCTGAGAAGCAATGTGAATCTAACTCTGCATCCGGTCAAGAAATATGACAAAGGTTACTGACTGCCTTTTATATAATTAATAAATGTTTTTCTGTTTTGGCTAGTAATTAATTATTATTAAAAATATTTTGTTTAATAGTAATGACGCAATGTATGTTGAAATAAGCTTTCAATCTTCCAGTCAGCTGAGTAGACTGAAAGACGAAAATATTTTGTAAAAACACTAGAATTAAAAAAAAAAAAAAAACATATAATATACTATGACGAGAAAAAATAACTATATGAAAGGTGGGTTATACTTTGTGAAACATACATTATGAGCTAAATAATAATACACTTGTAAGGAAACAGGGGAATTAACAAATTTATAGGATTCTAAAAGCATTCCTCACCCTCAGATGGAAGGATCACTACTCCGTGGACGACGGGTGGTCCAGCACTGCCCAAAATTTCTGTGAGCTGTGTAAAAAGCTGCACAACGACACTGTGCCCAAGACCTATCAGGACATCAGGAAGTGGTTCATGTCCCAGGGGGGTTGTAAGAAACTGGATACAAGTGCCTGGAGCAAGCTCTTGGTTTGACACCACTGAACTAATGGACTGTGTGTGTTACCATGTGGCCGATCTTCTGTTGTCGGAGGTACTAGACGTGTTCCCGCATGAACTGCAGATACACTTTCTGTGATTAAACAAGGTTAAGGCTAGTTGCTGCAAGCTTGTTTTACGCTAGTACAGTATTTCGCTGCCTGGATGAGGTAGAGTGCGGTCGTGCTTTGCACCCCTCTACTGTTTTCCCAGACGAGCTACTCAGTCAACAACATGGCGCCAGGTGTGTGCAGAAGGGTGAATACTGTGGGTATTGAGCTCATTAGTGGGGCTTTAACGCCTACGTCAGTTGATGTGTTATTGCCCAAAATTGTGAGAGAGACATATGGCATCAGAGACGAGGATTTGTATGGAGTGGCACTGAACGGTGTGTATAGAATATTCGTGAAGGTGCTAACTGCTCAAGTATACGAGGCGTTGGTGGATCGTTATCAAGATGTCAGCATTAACGTAACACCGGCAGTGAGGGTCAAGTTGACGGATGTATCACGACATTATTCGTGGGTTAAGCTCCGAAACGTGCCTTTTGAGGCTGATGAAGTGGATATACGCAATGTTTCCGAACGTTATGGCACTGTACATCTGGCCCAACCTGGTAAATGGGTAAAAGGAGCTTACACAGGTTATCCTGAGGGTTCTTTCAATCTCAAGATGACGCTAAGGCATCCTATACCCTCGTATGTATATCTCGAGGAGTTTAGAACCCAGGTAATGGTAGCGTATGCTGGGCAGAGGCGTACATGCCGACTGTGTGGCGAATATGACCATATGGCGGCAGATTGTGGCAAGTGGAATATGGCTCCTGGGCCGGCAAGGGGCGGAGCACCTGTCCATGAGAAACCGATGCCTGAGGAAGAACGGAGGCAAGGAGGAGGGCGTGGTCGCTTGTGGAGTGAAGAGGTGACGGCTCCTCCTGTGGAATCAGAAGAAGTGGAGATCCATGAATCACCTGGCCCATCAACAGTACAGCTGTCAAGTGAAGAGGTGCAGGTGGGCGCAGAAGTAAAAGCTATTGAGGAGGAGTTGGAGACGGTGATACAGGCTATGTTAGAGTCTACGGAGGTGGAGAGTCACAGTGAGCAGGAACCTGGGATCAGGGCAGAAGGTGTGTGCGGGAGGGGGGAGGATCAGGTGGCACCTGTGATGGACAGTGTGAGTGCCATGGAAGGACATGGAGGCGGATTAAGGGTGGTAGAGGTGGAAGTCCATTGTGCTGGCTCCCAGGACTCAGATATGGAAACTGAAGGAGCTACAAGGAAAAGGGCAGCAGAGTCAGATTCGGACGATGTTCTGACGCCGGCGCAAAGGCCAGGAAAAAAGACATGGGGTTATGGTGCTCAGAGTGACTCTACGAGAGGGCCACAACAGAAGGGGGGGATGGTTGGGAAGGAGGGTGGAGTATGTGGCAAAGGCAAAGCCCAGGGAAATGGTTTGAAAGGGAAGAGTCATGACATGAGGTGGGGAGGGAAACCTTAAGCCGGCCTCAGGTGTGTAACAATAAATATTAATGGTCTGTGTGATGGTGTTAAACGTGAGTGCTTCAGGATGTTTTTGAATAGGTACAAGATTGACGTAGCTTTTGTGCAGGAGCACAATTTTAAGCTTGGTCGTGAATTAGAGGTGCCTGGGTATCAGGCTTATGTGTTGCCGTCTGAGCGCTTAAAAGGAGGAGTGGGTGTGTTGATCAGGGAGGTGAGCCCGTTTGTATTGCACAGGAAAGAGGGGGGGAGGGGGGAGAGTATTACGTGTGGAAGGATGGTGGATGGGAGAGAGAGTGGTGTTTGTGTGTGTGTATGCCCCAGCAGAAAGTGACGTGAAAGTGAAGATGGATTTTGTGCGGGAGGAGCTCGTGTACTACCTACGCACGTTACCGTCGGTGGCGATTGTGGGAGGGGATTGGAATTGTGTAGTTAAGAGGGCAGACGTGGAACCCAGAGGAGCAGGATATTTTTCCTCAGTCTTGGGAGGCCTGCTTAGAGACCTTCAGTTACGTTATGCTTTCGGGGGAGGTCTGTGGCAGGTGGAACATACGTTTATAAGAATGGGATATGCGGCTCGTTTGGACAGGTTATATTTATCTCAGAGGGTTTTGGTAGAGTCTTTTAAAACTATTGAGATGGTGTCTTCCGATCATAGGGCGGTATTAGTGGAGGTGGGGTGGGATGCTTTGGCTCGTAGGCAGGGAAGTTATTGGAAACTGAACACGATGGTTTTGAGGGATAGGGAGGGATTGGAAGGTTTTGCAGTATTTTGGGAACAGCTCTGGGCGGACAGAAGGACTGAGGAGAATGTGGTAGGATGGTGGGATAGTGTGGCTAAGGTAAGAATACGTCAATTTTATGTGAGGGAGGGTAAACGCATTAATCAATTGCGGTATGGTTTGTCAAATTATTTAGAATCTAGATTACGGGATTGTTACAAGGGGGGGGGCTGTGGCCGGGGTGTACCCAGTGGAGGATATACACATGTTGAAGGGCAGGATAAGGGATTTGCAAGAAGAACGTTTTGCAGCGGTACGTATACAGGCGGGGTTGGACGAAGTACTATGAGGCGACAAGCCATCGGCTTGTGTGCTGCGAGGACAGAAGGTACGACAGCGAACGACTACAATACCGAGATTGCAAGTCATTTCTTTGGTGGGGGGGGTTTAGAGAGGGACAGGTATTACGGGAAGCCATGGGGATGAGTGCATATGCAGATAGATGGTTTGAGGAATATGGGAAAAGTAGTGGGGTAGATGGAGACGTTCTTGGGCAGGTATGTGAGTATGTGCCATGCAAACTGGGGAGGAGTGATCGGGAGGCACTGGGTGGGGTCATTGAGGAGGAGGAAATATGGAGAGCCCTTATGGACATGAGGAAGGGAAAGGCACCCGGGATCGATGGTTTACCAAGCGAATTTTATGTACAGCACTGGGGTCTGCTTAGGGGTTTCCTAGTAGAGTTAATGAATACCATGAAGGAAGGAGGTAAGATGGGAGAATCACAGTCAACGGCGGTGGTGGTGTTGGTCCCGAAGGGTAAACAGCAGAGTACCCTTCGGGATTACCGAGCCATTTCGTTGCTTTGTGCTGATTATAAATTGTTCGCGAAAATTCTTGGGAATCGGCTTAAATGTGTTGTGGGGAGGGTCGTGTTTGAGTCTCAGTTTGGGTTGCCTGGTAGGTCAATGGGCGAGGGCCACGGGATCATAAAGGGGTTCCTGGAGGACATGGAAAGGGGAAGAGGGGCGTTGGTGGCATTGGATTGGCAAGGGGCTTATGACAGGGTGGAAAGAAAGGCTTTGAGGGATATTCTCCTACGACAGGGGTTTGGCGAAGAAATAGTGGGGTGGGTGGATACGTTGTACTCAAACGCGAAGGTAAGGGTGCAAATTAATGGGTGTGTGGGGGAAGGAGTCACCATGGAGCGGGGTCTTCGGCAGGGATGTCCATTATCACAACTTTTGTTTGCATGTGTTCAGGATCCCTTTTATAGGATGGTGGAGGATCGTCTAAGGACAGGGGATGGGGATGGTGAGCAGAAACCTTGGCCTGGTTTGGTGGGCTATGTTGATGATACAACTATTTTGGTGAGTGAGGAGACACGGTTAGGACTTTTGGAGGAAGTTGTACACAATTTTGGGAGAGCTACTGGGATGAAGGTAAATCTGGAAAAGTCAATGATAATGGGGCTGGGAGAGTGGGCAGGGAGATTAGATTGGGGATGTGATGTTGTGCAGCGGAGAACCAGGAGTCTGAAAATCTGTGGTGTCGTTTATGAGGCTGACCTGAGTGCTGCAAGGATTAGCAATTCGAATAGGATGGTGGAACAGGTGCAGCGACGTTTGGGAATGCTGCGACCTCACCATTTAACCCTTGGGCAACGTGCAATCGTCATCAATGTATTACTATATAGTAAAGTCTGGTTTGTTTCGGCAGTGATGCCGTTAACAGGAACAGCGATCACGAGTATTCTTAGAATGGTGTTCAAATTTTTGTGGGGCTCAGGGTGCAACTGGTTGCGAAGGGAGGTAGTAACATTGCCGGTATGTAGGGGAGGGTTAGGTTTGTTGGACTTGAGAAAGCGCGTGAAATCTGTTTTTATTAAGAGGGAAGTGATAAGTGCAGGTGCATGGAGGGGGGGGGGCAGCTAGATAAGGTACATGCTCACCTGAGGAAATGGTATGGAGGGGCGGAAATGAAGGAATGTGAAACAGTGTTATGTGCTTTAGTGTTAGCCAGGGAACCGGGAAAAGTAAAGGTGGGAACTTTATGTAAATTGTTAGAGAGACATGTAGTGGCGCCGGTTGAAGGGATCTACCCCATGTATGCATGGGATGTAATATGGCGAAGATTTAGTAAATTAAGGATACGACCTAGGCCACCTGAGGTTATGTATCGTTTCCTGCATGGGATTTGCCATCGGAGCGATGCTCCGAGATAGGAGGGTTATCGAGGGTGGGGGGTGTGGCAGATGCAGTGGGGAAGAGACTGCGTATCATGTTGTCTATTTTTGTGAAGGTTTGGAGTGCATCAGGGTATGGATGAATGAGGTTTGTGGTGAGGGTGGGGGGTTCAAGGATGTGTCGGTATTGCGAGCGTTGAGTCTTGATATGAGTGGTGTGGATGAGGGTGTGGTAAGGGGTTTAACATATATAATCGTGGACTACATATATGTTTTGTGGGGTATGAGGGGGAAGGAGGGTGGGGATGTGCTGAGAAGGACTTTGGCGGCGACGTTTTATCGAACCTTGTGTCGCAATAGAGACATTTTTGGGAAAAGGTGGGATGAGGTTTTTTCCGAGGGTTATAGAGGCCTAACAATAGGGAATTTATTGGCGTTATAAGGGGTTTTAACTGTCGGGGTGAGTAGGGTGGTAAAAGGGGGGGCGGGGGTTCCGGGGTATTCAACGGGCTCACCTCCTTGGGTGCGCAATGATGGGTGATTGGGTGTGATTGGAGGTACTCGTGTGGGACTAGATGAGAGGTTGTGAAAGATTAGTTTAGCTTAGTTCCCTTGATGGGGAAGGTGTAAATGGCAGTTTAAATATATAAATTATTTAATGTGTATATTTTCCTTTAGTAGCGTATTATGTTTCGCTTGTACTGGTCTTGCAATTGAATTTTAAACTTTTCTTGAGAGGATATTCCTTTCACTATGTACCTTGAAGAACTGAGTTATTTTTGCCATTTTGTTACGCGTTCCTGCATCAGATTTAAAGTAATTACCTATTATGTAAACATGTGTGGATAAGGATTAGTTCTCTAGATTAAAATTTTTGTATCTATATTTGTAAGTAATAATAGTTAGGCACGTGCTAGAAGGCACAGCGAAAGTATAGTCTTGTGGAATGTATGTTACGTTTTGGTAAGTTTGCATGTGGCGTATTAGGTGTTATAAGGAGTTTGGTGTTGTTAAGTTACTAAAATCATGATGAACCTTTTGGATAATACTTATTCAAGTTCTAGTCTTGGGTTCTTTAAATTATTTACTTAGCCTAGTACCGCTAATGTAGCATGTGGTGTATTATCTTGCATTTTGAGCGTGAACTTCACGATATGCAATGTTTTGAAAGTTTGTAATTCATGGTTAACATTAATATTTGATATTATATTGGTGGTGTATATTCTTCTACTTATTACAGTGTATGTGTATAGGAATGTAATGTTTCATATCTGTTTTAGTCTGTCAATTTGTGTTTTTGTGTCTTGTTCATGCACTACCAACTATAAGGTTTTGATGAGGTCAGTGTATGACCATTCATTAGGATAATTCAATGTATGTTATTTAGAACGGGGACTGTACATACGGGGAGGGGGGAGGGGTAGAAGTGTCGGCTGTGTCTGCACTGGCAATAATGATTATTATAAAAGGAGGGTTTATAGGTTATGTATATGGCTGTGGGTTATGTATATGGCTGTGGGTTATGTATATGGTTGTGGGTTATGTATATGGTTGTGTGTTATGTATATGGTTGTGTGTTATGTATATGGTTGTGGGTTATGTATATGGTTGTGGGTTATGTATATGGTTGTGGTGTTATGTATATGGTTGTGAGTTATGTATATGGTTGTAGGTTATGTATATGGTTGTGGGTTATGTATATGGTTGTGGGTTATGTATATGGTTGTGTGTTATGTACATGGTTGTAGGTTATGTATATGATTATAGGTTATGTATATGGTTGTGGGTTATGTATATGGTTGTGTGTTATGTATATGGTTGTGGGTTATGTATATGGCTGTGTGTTATGTATATGGTTGTAGGTTATGTATATGGTTGTAATATGGCCATGATCTATAGTGTTCTTTAAATGTACCGGGATTGTGTACTAGAGGTTTTGTAATATCTAGTATGGTTTTTAATTTTATACTCTTATACATTATTGTATTTGTTCTATGTTTTAAATAAAAAATAAAAAAAAAAGTACAGTATTTGGTAGTGAAATCGGAAGGCTGTGTAAAAACCAAAAATATGGATTTATTGCAGATGTTTAGATTTTTCCATCGACTACTGATGATTTTATAATGTCGTGCCGAATAGGTAAAATTCGTCAATTAGCAATAACTCATTTAAAATTAAGTCCTTTCTAAAATTTTGTCTTGTAAGTTTAATGATGGATTTTTTTCATTTATGTTATTGTCAAAATTAATAATTTTGTACCAAAAGAACCTTGGAAACTTACCTAACCTTGTTATAACAAGCGCAATTTAATTTAGCCTAATCCAATTAAATATATTTTAGATAAGTTTAAAATAATTTAATAATAAACAAACACAATGAAATATATTTTTTTCGTTAGGCTCAGAGTGATTTTTGCAAAATTATTGCGCACACAAATTTTCCCTTGCCTTATTCGGCAAGAAGAGCATTGCTATTTAAGCCAAAATCGCAAGTTTTACCTATTCGGCACGACAATAATACCAGTGAACATCTCAGTAGTAGTAACCAGTTACCAGTAACCAGTGTACCAGTAGATGACTCACTACCAACTGTCTCTGCCTGAGTCACTGTCTGTATTCATATTGCCGCTGACCTCAGCAGTATTCAAAGACCCCCTCACATATGGGTACTGTGGGCGGTCAGTCATACGAGAGTGAGCAAGGAGGCAAGGTTACGGCTGTTTGGGCGCTCCCCACATTATCCGTAATTATACGTACTTCCAGCCTACGTGAGTATTACTTTACCTCGAACCCCACATGATAAACAGAACTAAAACCGAAAATAAGCTAGAGAGGCACTGTCGTGGTGGTATACTGAGAAAGTGAACTTAGTGAACACCGGAATGCAGCAGTGTTGAGCTTCAGGAAGTTGGTTGCGTCATACACTGGACACCTTAACTCTTCAAGTTAAAAAAAAATGAAAATTAGAAAACGATGCACAAAAAGAATCTGTGGTGTGTTTATTCTGGCATTAGTTCATAAATGGACTCAAAGAATGCATGTGTAGAATATTAAAATCAGACTCCCCTCAGGGAAGGTTCCTTGATGTTGGTGAGGGGCTCTTGATTTAGGGAATTGGATTTGTGCTCCAGTTCCCCGAATTAAGCCTGAATGCCTTCCACATCCCTCCCAGGCGCTGTATAATCCTACGGGTTTAGCGCTTCCCCTTGATTATAATAATAAAATCAGACTTTTTGTTTACCTCAAGCTCTTGAATATTGAATTTCAAACAATCTTTGATAAACGTATCAACTTTGACCTTCAAGAATCACAGGACACTACAGTAAATGTCGCTCGGCCAAGGCATTAACAGCTGTTTTATCAGATTATGATTTTTGATGTAGAATAGTACACATCAAAATTAAAGCTGCCCACTCAGTGTTTTAGTTAATGGAAATGTGGAAACACAGAATTAAAGAGCGTAAGGTATTGTATTGAAGGTCTGGAGAGCAATGTATCAGGAAAAATATGAGATGGTAGTTTATTCTTCAGAATAACTGTGGAACGGAAAAAAAAGAGAGGGCATAGTTTTAAGTGCCTAACAAGAGACAACGTCAGTGAGATAAGACTTGGGAGCGAGTATGTGTGGCGAGGAGATTGATACAGCATTTCGTGATTGAGAAACTCCCAGACTTACTCAGAACTTCACAAAACAAATGCAAGAAACAAAATTCAAGGAAAACATGAACTTGGGCAAAAATAATGGGAACTTATTGTCCATTGGTTAAACAGATTTACCCCTCTCAGTGTAGCGTGGACAGATATAAATAAAATATCTAGGAAAAAGTGGTATAATTAATCATGCTTACCTTATTGAAAAAGCTAATAACTTCACAAATAAATGGGTGAAATATTCATGTACGACAACATCCCATATCATGTTAGAACAAAATTAGAAAGCGATTCTGAAGAAAGATCGAAATTTATTTATTTCACGAGTCTAAATATTGATGAGTACGAGTTGGAGTGAGATATTGCATTAATATGAAGGTAGATCAACAGTCCCTGGAAGGATAGTATAACGTGAGATATCCTCGGAACATTAAGGAAAGTCCTTGACAACCTCTTTCTCGCTCTGTACCATCTTAGTTACTCTTGAGGATGTCTTCCTAATTCTTGTACCAATAGTCTCATTATGCAAGATACATTTATCCTAATTTTATTAACTAGTTGTCTTTGTGAAACATTTGAAGGAATGCCTCATAGACTATATTATAGAATCAG